AATAAAACTTCACTCATTTTTGTAAGAATCATGATTGCACTCAACATTTGCAACAAATCTTTAAACTCCTAGGTCATCCTAGTGGACGAGTTGTGTCTCGTGAGGGTTTTCTCGTGAGGGTTTTCAGTAGATCTACCCACAAAATCCTAATACAAAAATGCAACTATATGATATGCATGCAAAGAAGATTTAGGAATTAAAGTTCAATTAAATACAAAGTCTCAAATATTTAAGAGTTTTCATATACTCACTTAAAATCAAATACTCATTCTATTCTTCACACCACTTGTTAAAAGATTTAGCCCATGAGCACTTAGTGTGTGTGTGGAAATTTTTAGTAACAAGTTTCAAGTTTAGACCTTCATACCTTACCACTTATTATTATTTTTTTCTATTTCTCCCCATTTTTTTTTCATATGTCGAGTTTCCTTAGGCTTTCTAAGTTACTCATGTAATGAGCTTTTTGTCAATGACTCCTAACCAATTGGCTTTAAGGCATTAGGTGAAGAGACACCCCTAAGAACATATTTACTCAAGTGACAAAGACCACAAAAAATTGGACTTCTCTTTTTTCCCTTTTTTTTTTTTTTTTTTTTTTCCGCCATACTATTCCCTATTTTCTTAGTTGTCTTTTGTCTTTTGTCGTGACTTTTGTGATTTGTGCTGCCTGTTGCTGATTACTTCATAAGTTCTAAGTTCTTTGTGTTTTGCTTTTTTATGTTTTCATTTGCCATTTAAGTTGACATTTGTCTTGTTTCTCATGCTTAATTCTTAATTACTTAGCAACTTTGGAGTTTTGGGTATTAATTAATTCTTTTTTTTGTTGGTTTCTTTTTTTTTTTTTTTTTTTTTTTTTTATGTGCTTTTTAGGTGCTACTAAGTCTTCTCTCTAAACTTCTCACTACAAACTTGTGCTCAAATAGAATAGAGTACTCATGAACTTAAATTTCCTTACAATGGTGTTATTTTTCAAATTTTGTATTTCCTCTAAAATTCAAAGATTTTAGAAGTTTTTAAATTTTCAACTCAAGAATGTCCAATATGTTGACACTAATTAGATCAACTCCTAAAAAATACCCTAATTTCTAAAAAAGAAAAAAAAATGTATGTCATGTAAATATGAATGCAAACTAATGTAAAAATGGACACCTAATAGTTACTCTGTCCCCCAAACTTAAATTAAACATTGTCTTCAATATAAAATAAAAGTAAAAGAAAAGAGAAACTTCCCAGGTTTTGCACTTAAATATTTGAGTTTTGAAGTTGAGTTCATTGCAATTGGAGACTTCAAGCATGTGAATTTTCTTAATCTCATCCAGCAAACTTGTTCAATGACTTGGCCAGAATCAAAGAACAATCATTTATGCATTAACCTGGGCTATAAAGAGGAAAAAAAAAATCTAAACTATTAAAATAAAAGACAAAAAAATAAAAGAAAAGAAAAAGTTTATACTTGGGTTGCCTCCCAAGAAGCACTTAATTTATAATCATTAGCTAAACTTTCTACCACTTCAAGGTGGTTTTGGATCAGGTTGTAGGGCATGTCTTCTCGTTTTCTGAAATCTTGGCTTTCTTGCCCTTAAGTTAACTCCACCATAAAATTTACTCCAATGACTATTTTGTGGTGATTTGGGTTTAGGCCAATAGATGTGCCTTCCCAATTCTTCTAAGATAGTCCCCTTCAATTCCAAGGAAGATAATGATATGTTCAAGCAATTTATGTGTTTTTTGATTGGGTCCTTTGCTTGAATAAGATAAATCTTAAATGGATCATCATAAGTGTTTTTTTGCAAAATCTCATAAACCAAATCAACAACAAAATAATCATTAAAATCAGATTTGGTTAAAGGAGACTTCCCATTAAACACTTCAAATGACACTTGAGCTTTTTCCTCTTCTTCCTTGGGGACTTTCTTTTGTTTGGTTTTTGCAAGTATGCTTTTCACTTCTCCAAGTTGTCCTCCAATCTCCAAGGGTAAGGTGTTTACCTCTTCTTCTTGATTTTTCATTATTGCACTAGGTAACTCATCTTGTATTTCTTCAGCAACAAGTTGAGCGAATGACTTGATTGGACTTCCAAGTTTTTATCCAAACATGTCTCCTCTTCTTGATCTTGAAACCTTGATTGTGGCTCCAATATCTCTTCATTATTCCATGAGGTGTTTGGGTCAAAATTGCATGTATTGGGATAATGATTATACTATTGGCTATAAAATTGAATACACTTGTTAGATCGTTTAAAATAGCAATCAAAACTAAAATGGTCGAATCCACACCATTGACAAGTGATATTTAATCGTTCAATTAGAGTCTTCTTTAATTTGATCCTTTCAATGACTGCCTGAAATCGTTCAAGTTCATTATTGTCAATTTCTGCTTCACAACTGATAATTATTGCTCCAACTTGTGCCCTTATTTCTTGAGCAAGATAGTGATAACTCACATCAGTGTCTATGACAACTCAATTCATAATTAAACCTACAAAAACAATAACCAAAGAAACAAAAAAAAAAAATCAAAGTAAAGAAACAAAAGAAAGGAAAACGTTCAAATTAAATCTAGAATTAACCAACTTCGATATTAATTAAATTAACAATCCCCAGCAATGGTGTCAAAAACTTGATGCACTAAAATCACCATAACGTGTGTACTAATTGCTCCAAATAATATAATGATGAGAAGAGTGTCGAATATATGAGAATTGTGTTTAACTAAATACTAAAATAATTAATCCAAATTTATTTGAATAACAGAAAAAGAAGAAAGTTTAATTAAAAATAATAAATAATAATAATAATTAAAATAAAACTAACCAAGATATGAGGTACTAAGGCATCGATTTCACCATAATCAATTAATATAAATTATGAATTATTAAATTGTTGAGTGTTATTGCATATGATGACAGATTTTTCTAAATTAATTAACTAAACTTTTTCAAATCAAGTTAATCCTTTACTTGTTTGTTAAATCAATCATATCTTTATGTAATTTTTAAACAAACTAATGAGTATTAAATTCTGTAAAAACCTCTAGCTTTAGAAAGGGAAGCTTCTAACTCTCTTCTCTTCCTCTATTACCATATGTGAGCTAATTACCTCTCGATCTTATAGTCTAACACACGGTTTATATTATTATTGATTTAATTTACACAATTCTTTTTTAAGTTAATGCATAAATTACTAAATCAATTGAAATGTGATAAGGCTTCTAATGCATTAAATTCAATAATATAAACTCCTCATGCGAATAATTTTAATTGAAAGTATAAAAATTACAAAATATATATCAAATTGATTAGGCTACACCATAACCTTAATAAAATAAATTAGTTCATAATAAAAATAATAAAATCTGAAATTATAGTTGTGAACATTCGAATATCAAACAATAGATAAAAAAAAGAAAAAGAAAAAACAAAACTCAATTTGAAGAACTTGAACTCCTTCTATTGTTGATAAATCTTCTATCTTGATCTTTAAGAATGCCCAAAAGAGGACTGTCACCAGCCTCCACCAGCTCTGCTCAATTCTAAATTTGAATGTGTATTTATAGAACTTTAAACCCTAATTGGAATAGAGGTGGGATTTGAAACAGAATAGAAAACTTGAATTTGAGATGCTGAACGCATGGTGCTGACACCCCGAATTATGCGTCGACACAAAACAGGAAACAGAAAGTCTAATGCTGGACACTCAACACATGGTGTCGACACTACAGCCGTGTCAAGTTTCTGGTTCTTTTTGGCAATTTCTTCAATGGTAAAGTAGCAGATCTGGTCCTCCATCTTTTGTACGATGAGCACTTAGATTGCAAAACTCAAGATTCATTTATTTAAGTCCCAAAGAGGTGCCCTTCTTCTTGCAATTTAGTCCTTCAACTTTCAAAAGATGTTCAATTAATCTCAAAAACTCCTATTTTTATGCAATCAAGTTCTTTTCTGCCCAAAAAATGAAAACCATTTAAACTCTCATAAAATTCATTCAAATATTAATAATATTAAGATAGAAATTTTACATTAATATATATATATATAAATTCAACTTATCATTTCTCAAGAGATCTTTTGCCTATAAGTCCTCAAAAACTTAGATTCAAGGTATTAGTAATAATTGATTTTTACACTTGTATACCGCCTATAATTGGGCTAAAACCAACTTTTAGCCTCTTACCTTACAAAATTGGTAGGTTTTAGCCCATAACCTTATAATATAATATTTTTAGCCTTTTACCTTACAAAGTTGGTAGGTTTTAACCCTTCATCTTACAAAGTTGGTAGGTTTTAGCCTTTCACCTTATATTATGACACTTTTAGTCCCTTATTTGTATGAATTGAAGAAAATAACCCTCACTTAACATCATGTTATAGTGTTTTGTTAGTTCTATTGGTTGACTGTAAATTCTGCTAACTAACTGTAAATTCTGTTAATTGACTGTTAGTTCTATTAACTGATTGTTAACATTCGTTAGTATTTCGTTAATGGAACTAACAAATAGAATTGAATTTAAATTTAATATTTTTCACAATGGAATGCTAACGGATGTTAGCAGTCAGTTAATAGAACTAATAGAACATTATAACCTGATGTTAGGTAAGGGTTATTTTCTTCAATTTGTATAGGTGAGGGGTTATAAATGTTATAATCTAAGGTGAGAGGTTAAAACCTATCAATTTTGTAAGGTGATGGGCTAGAACCTATCAATTTTGTAAGGTAAATGACTAAAAGTGTTATGTTATAAGTTGAGGGGCTAAAATTTACTAATTTTGTCAGGTAAGGGGCTAAATGTTGGTTTTTACCCTATAATTGTTCTCTTCTTTTTATATGGAATTAGGCGTCACAGCCTTTGAGACCAATTCATTGCATTTGCTCCAATCTATACTCCCCTCTCATCAGTAACGACTTAGTTACAATGTTTCTCCGTATAATATTATGATGTACAATGTGAGGTGACATCAAACAATTTTGCATAAAAGCGAGAGGTTTTACTCGTGGTAGATCATTAGATTGTATCCTTTATAAGAATCAAATTACATTACTAACAAAAAGGGAAGATTTCCCTGCCCTTTTTTCTATGTAATAACGTAACAACGGAGGGACGAAAAACAGATACGATTTGTTTATTACATATCTATGCAAGGTAAGACTACTCCCAAACAGGTGAACAAGATGTGTAAGAACTTTGGCTACGTACACATCCCTCTCCCCTTCATGACATGCCTCCTCAAGCCAGGAATATGGACATTTTTTATGTAGTCTTTCCAATCTATGCTTCCCACATCGAATCCGAAGCATCTCTTTTCTTCTTCAGACATGATCTCCATTAATCCCTGAGCGTTGCTGTTGTCAAACCTGCCACCATAGAAAGTGTATGGCTCATATAGATTTGCCAAATACTTGGCCTGGTCCACTGACTTTCTACAGATAAGTTCAAGTTTCTGAGACAGCTTTCCATCTGAAGATGCCACTGCAGTCAGTCCACTCCGGTCAATGGCATCCCTCCAGAGGTGAGTTGAGAGTTCTTCCATGGTGCTGAACAGCTTCATTGATGGTACTTGGATTGGCCTGCCCTTTGAGTCCAGGACCGGGGAAGAGTTGTAATGTTCATAGAGCAACCTGGCTAAGTCTTGGAAAACCAGGGGATTTACAACTGATGAGGCAATTTGGTAGATGTTGATCTCTGGCTTTTGAGTCATTCCATGCCTTGCAATGGCCGCTAATGTCGCGTTTACCACCATGTCAGCTGGGACCTGTAGCACATATCAAAAGCTGTTGAAACCTAAAAGCTTAAGTTGATAGGTTAAGAAGTCAGAAAATGGTGCTACTATCAAGTACTTACTACATCAAGCACTCCATCTGGGTCAACCAGGAAACCTGTTAGCTGGCCTTTTCCATAGCACAATACAATTGGATCCATCATCCTAGAAAGTAAAGAGAAATAGAGGGAAGAACTCAAATTAGTCCAAAATTAGTTACAACGTCTTGAAATGCTATATGCAAGATACCTGTTTCCCTCCATCCATCCAGGGAATGGCTCTTTGTAAGTACTCTCAATAACACTAGGTCGAATTATCACAACAGGTATTTCACCCCTCATCTTGTTGATCATCATTTCTCCCATAGCCTTAGTAAACACGTATGTGTCTTGCCATCCGTATCTTTTTGCCCTATTTAGGTGTTAATCAATGTCAGTATTTTGATTTTAAACATCCAGTTATGTCATAAATGAGAAAATGAACAGAATGGAGAAAATTGGAAGTATGATTCTAAACCAAACCTTTCTAAACCCAATTCTTTCATTTTCTGAGCAACTTCAACACCTTCAGAAGCTTCATCAGAATTCAAGGCCAATCTTAATTCATTTTCAATGTCTAGTATTGGTGTAGATCTTGTAGCAGTTTCAGATATTAAATTTTCCATTGCTATGCTATCTCCAATGCAGAATGGCTTTTCCATGATTCTTCCTTGTCTTTGTCCATTAACATATGCTGCACATGTAATAGGAATAAATCTGTTTCCAGAAAAATTTGCAAATCCTATATTTTCTTTGTCTGAATCATAGAATGTCCAAATGGAAAAAAAATCTAAATTAGAACATAACTCAAAGCCTAGTATTTTTTGATTATTGGTACTACTTGCCTGTTGATACTTGCAGGAAAAGTTTGAGATTCTTGAATTTCTTGGCAAATCCCATAAGGTGGCATGGTCCTCTAGTGTTTATATCTATAGCAACATCATACCTGCAATTCATATCATAATTGTATTTCAGTGTTTTCTTAGTACTTTAAACATTTCAGAGATAAAGACGAAGGACATAACCTTTCATCGAAGGTTGTATTAGCTGCAGAATTCACAATTATGTTGACTTCTTCTGCAATCACATCAGCTAAATCTCCTTGCAACCCAAGATCATATTCACTTAGATCTCCTACCACAGGGACTAGTTTGCTCAGCATGAAATTCTGGTATGCTTTTCCATAGGTTTCTTGCAGACACTTGAAAAGATCTGTGTTTATGATCTGAAAACAGCAAAAACTAAATTTTGAATCAAAATCAAGACCTCAAAAAACACATACTCATAATCTCAATAAGCAAAGAATACAATCATCAAAAATCAGTGACAACATACTTCATTTTTCAATCTTTCCATTGCAGCTTCTTCATTTTTTGCCTTGATCAAGAGGAAAATCTTTCCCACATCTGGCATAGTCCTTAGAATCTTCTCAATAAGAACTGCATTCATTGAAAGAAAGAAAGAAAAAAAAGAGAATGAAATGAGTATGTGATCACAATCTTTTCTCCTAAGAAAGGTCATGGAAACTAAACAAGGAAGAACACTAAAATGTACCTTTAGCTAGAAACCCTGTCGCACCAGTAATGAAAAACCCCTTTCCTCTAAGAAATTTGACAATGCCAATGCCATCTTGTAACTCAACAAAAGGAGGTGAGCCATAGGGCACCAGATTCTTCACTGCAATCTCTGCCTGGCTCTTTCCATTTGGTGAAAAAACCAAGTTTCCAGAATCCATAAGAGCTGCTGGACCACAATCACCATTAACCACTGCAGATCTTTCTGTCAAAACCGAGCTAGACTTTACACTATTGCTACTTCCTTGACAATGCAGAAAAAACTTCCTCCTCTTCCATCCAGTATTGTCAGAGACTCTTACAAATTTATTTGGTGTGAGTGAGAAAGAATTGAGGAACAAGGTCCCCATCACTGCCAAGAAAAAGAGGAAGTTGAGAAGGAAGAGAAGTATGATCAACAAACCAACACTCTTTTTAAGCAGTTAAAGAACTAGTGACTTAAAACATAACTAATACCTTCCTGAGAAGAGGAGGGGGGGAGGGGGGATATAAAAAACAAGTAAACTAACTAATGCCTATAATATAAGAGATAAGAGAAAGTTGGGTTTGGCATTGGAAAGTAAGAAATAGAAAAGAGTTTAAAGACAAAGAAGAATGGGGTGAATTTAAGGGAGAAAGGAGATGAAAGTTAGGTATATTTTAATGTTATTGATCAAAATTCAAGGGAAGGCACAAGTTTGCATATAAAAAGCCTTCACACAATCACACTTCTTACCAGGGGCTAAGATGCCGGAAGTTCTCTTTCTTCCACTTATTTGATTATTAATCTTGGGAGGAATTATAATTGAAAAATGCATAGAAAGAAAGGGTGTTGGAGCTGGGATGGTCGCTTGTAGGATTAACAACCAATTATCTTATTGTTAGAGATATTTTTTTCTCCCTTTTTTTCCTTTTTTCATTTTTCTTTTCATTTTTTTTTTTTTTTGGGGTATGTGTATAGCTCCTATCTAGTCAAAAGGAGCACATCCACCCATTAAAATCTCTTGTACGATTAACAAGCAATTTTCTTATTTTCTTAATCTTTCTTATCTGTAAGTGTGAATCACACTGTCTCAACATTTGTAACTGATTTAGTTTTTCTTTTTAGGTGTCTGGTTCATTCATTTTTCCCTTGCTTTTTCTCTCCAGTATCATTTTGATCTGCCCAGAAGCATCAGGATGTTTGGGATATATTTGCATTTCCTTACGAAAGAAGTTGGTTTCAAGAACTTTTCTGGAATAAGGAGTCTGTACCTTTCTAATTCTAGTCGAACACAAAATAGTACAAAGAGAGTAAGCGCTTCAAATGCATATCCAGCATTGTTTTAAATGGGGAGAAATGATTTTGTTATAAAACCAGGGTTAAAAGTCAATATGCTATTAATCACCAGACAAACACCTGAAGCAATTGCACTGGAAACCAAAACCTTGCGAGAGAATCCTCTGCCTAGCATCATAACTCATACTCGTATCAATATAGCATATACGAAGCTCTTCACCTGCAAGATATCCAAGAAGAATTAGTCATCATTTAAATATTTGGGGCAACAACTATAATTGTTAAAAGAAGTGTCTTTATTCTGGATTTTCATAGTCTAAGCTATCTACACCCTATTATTATGCATCTGAGACCATTATTGCACGTTTTACCGTGTTTCTAACAATTAACCTCAACATATTTCTTCTCAAAAACTGTTTTGTCCTCCCTATCCAAGGGTCCTTATTGTACAATTCGGATCAGTTTAGACTGTACAACTACGGACCCTATTTCTTTTACCAGATCCTAAAAGGTTCCTTTTTTTTTCTTCTTCTTTTTTTTTCTTTTTTTATGAGAGATCCTAAAAGTTTTTAATTCAATGGAAACAAAGAACGGTTTTGTTGTGATGTTAACGTGAAGTGAAGAAATGATGATGAAACATGCAATTTTTTTACTCTTTCTAATCTTAGTTGACAATAAGCTACTTTCTCGTTATACATAGACAATTCCAAATAGAATGAAGAAGAATAAAAGACGAAATTAAAATTTAAAGGCTACAGAATAAGAGACAAACCTTCCTCAATGTCACGGAGTGCCTTCAATCTTGCATCAGCATTCTCTATCCACATAATGTGTGTGTTAGGATCTGCAGTCCAATGTTAGCTTATTAAATTCTTTCATTTTTTCAGAAATGTATAGGATGAATCTATACATGACTACTTTATCTTGCAGTGGTAATATAGGCCCCTTCCCTTGTGTGCATGTGCTGTGTGTGAGGCTCTTTTTGGTTCATGAAGAATGTATAGGTAAGAAAGTAAGAAAAAATGACATAAAAAAAAATGCCTTCCATAGATCTTTCTTTACCTTACTTATACTCGAAGTTCCCAGCTAAAAGGTGAAAAATTGCATGAACCAAATTCCATAGTTATAAAGTATGAGTAGCAAATACAATTATTTCTGAAGGATTACTTCTTATAGTGTCACCCTAATGTCCTTATCCATTATGCAGTTGAAGAAATTATCTAAAGTAATTTCATGTACGAGCAATTAAGCATAGTAAGGGGAATGCTAGTAAAAACAAAAGGTCATTAAAGCTTACCACAATCATGATTATAAAAGGAAGGAAGCACGTATACAGCATTTCCAACTGCAGCTTCAGCTTCTACAGAGGCTGCAGCTGATGAAAGAAGATCTTCATACAGTCCTCCAGCTAACTCAATGCGGAATGCATTGATACGAATTCGAGCAAGCACAGCAGTGTACCATTGCTTGGTTAAGACTTCATGACATCAAAGACAAATCTTTCTCAGAAAATCATAAGAGCAGAGGCAGTAAAAATAAAAGTAAAATGGAACAGATGGTGATAATATTCAGTCAAATGGAGGATACATTCCACATTTTCATCCATGAAATTTGCCTTTGTGAAAGCTTTCTTCAGCAAATTAAAACCTTCTTCCATCTGAAATTGTCATTTTATGTGTACAAACGATGATCAATCCATCTACAACAGTCATTTTAATCAACTCTCAATGCAATTATCAACAAACTTATAAGTACTCAGAAATGCTGCAAGACTCTCACCTCTATAATCATCTCTGGTGTTAAACTAGTTGGTTGAAGTATGTCAAGAATGTCAGCAGATACAGCTCCTGACATAACCATACAAGCTAATCGCTTTACAAGAAGGGGATATTTCAGGCCTTGAGTCCTTGCCAAAAAGCAAATTGTAAGCAAGAAAATGCAAATAATGAGACTGTACTTTTATGTCTTGGGGCGACCACAGTGCTGACAGCATATAAAACCAATAGAAAAAGGAGAAAATAATAAAATGAAATTGGCACCCGAGCAAAAGACCTTTAACAAACACTTTACCTGCAATAGTCATCAAAAGCCAACCAATCTGCCTGCGTCTCAACATCATAAAAGACCTAAAAACACACAAGAAACAAGACGAAAGATTATGCAAGGCAAAATTCCTGGCACAGTGGTACTTCAAAGATAAAGAATTTCAAAGATAGTTACATAGAAGAATTAAATTGATGCATGCAAAACCTTAAACCAAATCAAATAAACTGTAACCTTTGTAGCTCAGAAAATAAAACATGAAGTGAAAATAACTTTCTAATTCAACAAGTGACAATATTTATGAAAGATGTTGTACCAAAAACCAATAAGGGAAGTAAATTGAACCTCACCTTACCCTCACCAAACTAAAAGAGTAAACATTTTTAATTTGCTCAGGTATAGTGGTCCGAAACTAAGAAATTCAAGTTAGGTTATTCAAAACGAAAAACAAATATTTCTGTTTCTTATAAGCAAATCCTCAAACACGTGGTGGGTGTCTGTAACCCATAACCTTTAACTAACATAACAATTTGCTTTATTTGCCATACCCCAACCCCCCACAGTTTATCTCAAATGAGGAGAGGAATGAATACCGATTAATCTTAATCAAGCACTTAAACGAAGGCAGTAAATGGGCACCGAGGAACAGACAAAAAAAACACACCTTCGACTTTTCTTTGCATTCTTCACTGCAAAACACAATGCTTTGAGCCTCGGAGTCTTTCAAAGACGGCAGCTTTCTAAGGCAAAAGTAACAGACATTGTTAATGGTAGAGAGCGAGGGGTGAGCCATAATGGGTTTCGCAGTGTGGATGAGATCTCCGGCACTGATTCTCCGAGTGGCAAACACGCCTCGACCGGCTGACTCAGTGAACGCAACATGGATCGGAGGTGGCGCGGGTCGACTCGGTGCCTCTGTGTCCGGTGGGGTGGTGGAGGAGATGGTATAAAAAGCCAGAAGTGGGTGTTTCTGAGAATGTTGATTCCTTAAGCGGGAAAGCAAACTGCCACAACGGTTCAAAGCCATCTGTGATACTCCCCTTTCACCTGTGGCCTTTTCCTTTTGTTGATATTGTCGCTGTTAAAATGATTTTTAATTCCGCCTTTGACTGATTTGGGGGCATGATCGGTGAAACTTGGAAGAGGTTAAGTTTTTTTATTATTTATATTTTATAAATTTAAATTTTTTCTTAAAAATTTATATTTTTAACATTTTCTTTAATTTTAAAAAAATCTTAAATAATAAATTTTAAAAAATTTTAAATTTGTACTTTTTATAAATTTTTTTTTTACTCACTTTTTTTATTTCTAAATGTAACTTTAAAATTTTTTTTAATAAAAATTTAAATTTCACTCATAAATAGTAAAAAAAATAAAAACTCTTACAAGTTTCACCAGATATACTTTTAAGAGTTTCGAGAGCAAATAATAACCAAGAAGAAACCATATTGAAGATGACTTAAAAAAAGAAAACTGTATTTATTTGTCTTAATTTTTAAAAATTAATTATTTTAAAATTATGTTATTTTAATAAATTTTTATTAAAAAAATAAAATACTCTATTTTTAAATATAAATTAGAGTGTTATTTGTTTTTTTTTTAGTATTTTATTATAAAAAAGTATTTTTTTAGATAATTTTCCTTATAATTTTAGAAAATAAGTAAGAAGTAAAACAAAAATATTGTTTGTATTTTATAATAGATTTGTCTAATTTATGCACACATGTGTATATTAAATATTTTTGTCATAAATTTATATTAAAAATAAAAATTAATATTTAATTTATTAATTATTTAATTAAATTTATCTATTTGACACTGATACTAAAATTAATATAAGCTTTTAAAATTTTTTATATACATTTATAATAAAAAAATACTAGAATATAGGTTAAAAAAACTTTTTTATAATTTAAACTCTATTAAATTATATAATATTAACTATTAAATAAAATTAAACTTTTGATATTAAGATCTTTTCCCATTTACTAGTCATGTTCTACATATATATATATGTATATATTTCTTATTTTATAGTTCAAAGAGTAAAACAGGTCTATTTAATAAAGAAAAACCTCTAATATCAAGAGACTTTCTTTAATCAAAGAATTAATATTTTATAATTTAAAATAATTTGCAACTGTAGAGCACTTTTTCATATCTCCGTATATATATTGAGGAAGAATGTAAGGACCACATGCTTTAAGGAAACACGGACTCTGAAGAAGAGATGCGTCCAATGTGGGGGGCTTGCACTGTCAGATTGATAAAATTAGTACTCATATTAACATGGTGGGTGATGTACAACTTCGTAGAAATATTCAGCAAAAAGTACAAAGATTTAAAGATGACAGAAAGGGGTTTCTGTTCTGCATATATGCTCAAAATGGGTGATACAGAATGATTCTTAAGTTCTAAATAAAAAAAGGACCCAAAAATATATGTTATGTATTGTGTATATACATGCCAATGGTGATCACCTATGCCGGGTAATGTTAATGATATGCAATCCTCTTATTGAAGAAACTGGGAACAGCAGATCAAGATTGGTGTGTCATTGTTGTAATGGTGATCTCCACCCAGGATTCTCCTCTGGGAAATCTTTCTGTACTTCTTTAGGAGGAATGAAGTAATCGATGGAGAGGCCAGGCACGTTGAATGCAAGATCATCAATGGTCCAGATTTCCTCCATGCGCGTAACAGAGAGGCCTGCCTTTAAATTGTCCCCAAACCTAGTGATGATCACACTTGACTGACCACCATGTGCAATCATCACACCCTCTACTGTCCGGTAGTCCTCAACTTTTGTAGCCATTGTAGTTTCCCAGTATGTGGGGTGGGTTCCAGGTGATTGAATCCTTGTTAAGTAAGAGTCTTCTAAAAATACCAGCAGCCCGCTTCTTTGGCTGAAGTAGCCGAATACGGCATGCTTGATCATCTCAGCAGTGCTATCACTTCTTTCAGCCAAGTCTGCTTGATCAGCAGCCAATTTCAACACAAAACAATCAGTTCCTGAAATCCGCTTCTCTCCCATGTACTGTGCTGAGGAAAACACAGCTGATACTGCCAGAGGATCCAGTCCCTACAAGAATTATTTTATATATTGATCACAATATGGGTAATGGTTTTCGATACTCAAAAGTATTTCCACTGAAAGCTTCAACTTTTCATGAATGAAGGTAGTGAAATGTTCTTTTCATTTGTTTGCAGACAGAAGGAATAGAACGATATAAAGACGTAAAAACAAATTATGGTTTCAGCCATTTAACAGTTTCCTTACTCAGGATTAAAAATATAAGCACTCTAATTTCTTAGTTGCAAAACAGAATCTGGAAATCTAAACTGCTACAGCAGGTGTTTTCTGGACAAATGGCATCTTCAATTATAGATATATTTATTTAATTTAATAGGTGGACTAGTTTTATTTTTTAACTAATAAAACGATATTTTGCATCTGAAAATATTCCTCTGAAACAAGATTCACCATTGTGGGAAGTCAGATTTGACTGAATAGAAAATTTTCATCAAATATGTGAAAGCAATTACCGTTTTAGCAGAGAACATGATTCCAAAAGTAAACTCTCTATATTCCTACTTTTAAGAAAATAAACAGAAGCATAGACCTACAATTTCTATGCATTGTCTTTAGCAAATCAGATGCATAACTTAACATTTCTATTTTGTCCTATCTTTTGCAGAACAATTGCTGTAAACATGTGCAGGATCCAATCTCAAAAGAACACAACTCAAATAAGTTTAAGCGCATAATCCATTGCCTTACTACCCAAAAGGAAAATCCAAATACTACTTTAGAGATATTTTAATATTTATTTACTAGATCTCATTGATTATCTCGCCTCACCTAAACAGTTACAAGACAGCATAGATCTAAGTTAGCCTAGAAATTATTTGATGCAGTGGAACGTGCTACAGTAATTGTTAACACTAGAAAGGGGACCACTAATCATTATACTAATGGTAGGTAATGAGAGAAAGACAAGCAAACGCAACGATCATTCCCATGAAAATTAAATCTTAACAAAGATTCCAATACGTATTACTTGCCTGAAGAGCTCTCCGAAGAGGACGAACACTACCTTTGGCTGCATGTGCATTTAGCCACGGTGTGTGGCGCCAAGCCACATTGCCATCACTACCTGCTACAACCTTGTGACCACCCACAACCAGTTCAATTAGCCACTTATTAGGTACCATTTGCCATATTACAAAGCACCCTTTCTGTGCAACTCCACCAGTTCCAGACACCGTACCAGTTGAGCCTCCAAGCTCATCTATCATCGCCATTGTCACCTTTCCTGTTGCAAAAACATTTTTCACTCTCCCTTCCAATTTACGGCATCCTGTTGCTGCTATGAAGTGCTGTATTATGTATTGTGCAGAGGAGGATACCTGCAAATTAAACACCAGAAAATTATTTTTCAAGTAATTTGAAAAGAAGTTCAATTAATACTAATGACAAACAATAAGCTTCATTTGGTATCAGTAAACTGCCTTTTTAGAAGGGGTTTTGAAAATCACATTACACCATAACTTTAGGAAAGCAAACTTAAAGTCTATCTATCATATCTTGTAAAAGAACTCCTTTATGGGTTCATTTCAAACTAGAGCAAATTAATGAGGGGACCTCAACAACGATTTTTGGTTAATGTCAATTAAAAAGATCAAGACCCATCACCTGATTCATCATATGATTCCATCTTAGTCATGTAAAAAGAAAGTCATTATGAAAAAAAATGCAAAATTAATTCATAATTAACTCACCATCTCTTGTTCACACAATTGAAAATTGACAAACAGAATTGGACCCACATAAAAGTTCCTTGTTTTGGATGCTTTCTTGGTGGTAATGGTATTCTGGTGGGGGCTAGAGGAGTCAGGAGGAGTACCGGTAGAGAAGCACCAAGGAAACCAACTTGCTTTACTTTTCCAAAATTACTTTTTCAGAAAGATATGGGACAGACACTTGATTTTTTTTTCATTAGAAAATGATCATCTAAACACCCATAAACACCAAAAGCACAAGGAAAAAAGACCCAGAAAACAATCTCCAAAACCAGACTAAATAACTAAATTAAACATACATTATGTGCGAAAATGTGCCTAATTTAACATAAACATGTGAACATCAAGAAATCAAAATTACAAAGGCAACCAACCAATCAAACACCAAAATCCCATAACACAATGGCTTCAAACAATAGAAAGAAGAGCAGAACTGATGAAAAGGATATATATTTGCTTACCTCGTTGATGGGTGATTCAGGGTGGACTGAAACAGGAAACAGAGGGCAACCCAAAACACTTAAGAGGACCTTGAGGTCAGACTTTTTAGTAAAAACAAGAGAGAAATGAGCCTTGAGCCAGCTTTTCCATGAATGGCTTTTCTTCGAACAGTTTGTGGAGTCTTCGTCAATGGGTTCCTCTGACAATGGTGCCAGGCGACTCATCTGCCCCTTGTTTGGACGAAAGGAAAGAGAAGGAAAGAGAGAGAGAAAGTGTTGGGGAGACAGGAATGAGAAAATAAGAGGAAAAGAGTTAAAGGGGGAGGTGCTTTGGTGGTGGTGAACTTTGTGTACACGCTGTTATAGTGCGTGCAGTTCAGCTTTCTTTCTCAGTCCACATTTCTTTTTCTTCTTTTGAGCTTCTCGTTTAAAGCACTAAGAAAGTGTTTATTGTATTTTATTTGACTTTTGAAGTCTGAAAATGATTCGCAGACAAAGTCTCTGACAAAATCGAAGAGAGTCTACTGTGTGAATTTTGGAGAATATTAATGATTAGGGGAAAGGGTTTACATTCATTATTAAAAAAGTATTTTTTATTTAGATTTTTTTAATTTCGTGTCTTAAAAGTTTTGAAAAATTGTTAATTTCGTGTCTTAAAAGCTTAAAAAAATAAAAAATAATAGTTAATTTATTAACGATTTAAGTAAATTTATTCAGGTGATATTAATTTTAAAATTAATATTTATTTTTATATTTTTTATTTAAATTTATTTTAAAAAGTATTTTAATCTGTGCGTAGGAGTAAGTTTAAAAAAATCTTTTTCTATTTAAATTAAGTGTGTGATAAATATATATTTTTATTATCATCAATTTATATTATAAAAATAAAAATTAATATTTAATTTATTAATTATTTAATTGAATTCATTTTGATATTAAAATTAATATTAATTTTAATATTTTTTATATATTTGTAATAAAAATATATAAAAAAAATTTAAGTTTAATTAAAAATAATAAATAATAATAATAATTAAAATAAAACTAACCAAGATATGAGGTACTAAGGCATCGATTTCACCATAATCAATTAATATAAATTATGAATTATTAAATTGTTGAGTGTTATTGCATATGATGACAGATTTTTCTAAATTAATTAACTAAACTTTTTCAAATCAAGTTAATCCTTTACTTGTTTGTTAAATCAATCATATCTTTATGTAATTTTTAAACAAACTAATGAGTATTAAATTCTGTAAAAACCTCTAGCTTTAGAAAGGGAAGCTTCTAACTCTCTTCTCTTCCTCTATTACCATATGTGAGCTAATTACCTCTCGATCTTATAGTCTAACACACGGTTTATATTATTATTGATTTAATTTACACAATTCTTTTTTAAGTTAATGCATAAATTACTAAATCAATTGAAATGTGATAAGGCTTCTAATGCATTAAATTCAATAATATAAACTCCTCATGCGAATAATTTTAATTGAAAGTATAAAAATAAAAAATCTATATTAAATTGATTAGCTACATCATAACCTTAATAAAAAAAATTAGTTCATAATAAAAATAATAAAATCTGAAATTATAGTTGTGAATATTCAAATGTCAAATAATAGATAAAAAGAATTTAAAGAAAAACAAAACTCAATTTGAAGAACTTGAACTCCTTCTATTGTTGATAAATCTTCTATCTTGATCTTTAAGAATGCCCAAAAGAGGACTGTCACCAGCCTCCACCAGCTCTGCTCAATTCTAAATTTGAATGTGTATTTATAGAACTTTAAACCCTAATTGGAATAGAGGTGGGATTTGAAACAGAATAGAAAACTTGAATTTGAGATGCTGAACGCATGGTGCTGACACCCCGAATTATGCGTCGACACAAAACAGGAAACAGAAAGTCTAATGCTGGACACTCAACACATGGTGTCGACACTACAGCCGTGTCAAGTTTCTGGTTCTTTTTGGCAATTTCTTCAATGGTAAAGTAGCAGATCTGGTCCTCCATCTTTTGTACGATGAGCACTTAGATTGCAAAACTCAAGATTCATTTATTTAAGTCCCAAAGAGGTGCCCTTCTTCTTGCAACTCAATCCCTAAACTTTCAAAAGATGTTCAATTAATCTCAAAAACTCCTATTTTTATGCAATCAAGTTCTTTTCCACCTAAAAAATGAAAACCATTTAAACTCTCATAAAATTCATTCAAATATTAATAATATTAAGATAGAAATTTTACATTAATATATATATATATA